CGAAACACTTCCGAATAGGTGATTAAAAAATTACTTTCAAGATTAAGACGACATATAAGATGTTGAGAAATTTGCAATGATGTGAGAGATGTTTAAAAATGTTGACTACGTATTTTTATTATTATTTATAAAAAATATATTCAAGAAATTGATAAATATTTTATTCCAAATCTATTCATACGTACGTATATTATAGAAATTGTATCAGTTATTGAGAAAAAAAAACTAAAAAATAATCACATTAAATAAGCAAAATCTGGTGTATAATCATATTCTATCACAAGCATGCTTTTATAAAACTCAACATTCGTTGATTGAAATGTTTTATTCAAATTTCTTGACTAAATTTCAAATAGAATTTTAGACGACTAAAAAAGAAATATCGTATTTTATAGTTTTAAAGAAATAAAAATAAAAAGATTAGCAAACGATTATTAGCGAAAAAAATATGAATGAAATTTTACGCCACTGGCGCTAAGTCAAGTTCCTCGTAAGTTTATCACATTTTAATATTAATCGCCCCATTTAATCATTTCTTCATTGTCGCCAAATTATTTTTTTTTAAATAATTAATTTTAATTTTTCTCATCTTCTAATAAATAAAAACAATAGAAACTTTAGATTTTTCAATTGAAAAATATGTAGATTAAAATGGTATAGAAAAATCCCTACCTTATAATTCAAAATTTTTTCATCCTCACTTTAATTAAATAATAAAAAATAATAAATAATTATTAAAAATTATTTTTTGCATGAAATTATCTTTGGGTAAATGAGTTTTATGAGTGGGTGCAATTTTTTTTGAATTGCTTCATTAGTTTTGAAAATATGACTGAAAACGCAAAAAGCGAAATTAACATTAAGGGGTACGAACTTTGAATCGCTCTCCTGACCAAACTATGGGGACCACATTTCCCAGATTGCGGCTACCCCCTATATTTTGAAGATAAGGAAAATATGCAAATATGAAAATATCCAAATATGCAAAAAAATTATATGTTTATTCAGAGAAAGTACGTTTTTGTGTCTGATTTCGTAACTTAATTAATAGTTAGCACTAATTAATTAGCATATTTGAGGTCACCCCCCGGAACCATTAAGATTGGCACTTAGTTCGTGAAAATCCGATCATTAGAACGAAAGTTACTCAGGGTGATATCCTTTTTTTTTTGCGGACTGTACAAGTCGAAAATCTCTCGAATACTCAATTTATGTGTCAAATATATAACTAGTATTAACATAAAAACAACTTTAAAAGCACGGCTTCAAAGCAATCACAAGTATAAATGAACAGCTCTTTCCTTCCACTTGGTATCTTTACCAGATTTTCCACTTTCAGTCACCTTCGTATCCTCCGGTTACCACGGTTAATCTTGTTTTGATTTAATTTCGTATTTCCTTTTACATACGTACGTACGTACATACATACAGTATGTATGTATGTATGTATGTATGTATGTATGTATGTATGTATGTATGTATGTATGCATGCATGCATGCGTCCGTACGTACGTACATATATATATACGTACATACATACATACATACATACATACATACATACATACATACATACATACATACATAGTGTTAAAAAGAAGTCATTTTCGTTCCACTCATAAAAATATAGATTTCATATAGATAAATCCACTCAGAAAAATCATCGTTGATAAAAGCTATTTATTTATTATTTTCTAAAATGAGCTTAAGAAACACATCGTTAAACTTTGATATCTATGACTCTTGCATTAAGTCACAGAAATACACTTCGATATCTCTTAATCTTATAGTAATATTTTAACATCGTATATTCAAAATTTGATTTCACGAAAATTATTTAAACTAGTATAAACATTCTAGACAATACAAATATCAATTGAAGTAATAATAATTTTTTTTTTTTTGCTAATTTAGAAAGATTAAGCATAGAATTACTCTAAACAAGTAACATTCAATAGTAAAATAAACATAAATTTTGATTTTCATTAAATAATAATCAAACATGAATTCATGTTCATTACTTACATTTGATGCATTTAATGCGTCGTAATTAGGAATTCCATCTGCTTAAAAATTGCTCTGTTATTTTGTCTTTTCTAATTTGTTCATAAAAATCTTTTCTTCTTTCTTTCAACTTTCATAAGTTTTTTTAGGTGAATATTCAATAAGATGAAAAGTAATTTGAAAATTTAGCAACTTCAATTCTTTAACAGTTTGATTGAAATTAGATTGGGCAGCACTTTCAGAACAAAACTAATGATTTCTTTCTAGGTGAATTTAGTAAGATGTTAAAATTAAATTAAAAGAAGTATTGCGTTGCATATTATTTTCACAGTATCACAATATTAAATTCCATCAAATAAAAGAAACCAGCATGATAAAGCAACTGTAAAGAAGTTCTAAACTGAAATAAATAAAAAAAAATCAAATGGTTTAAAATATTCCAAACGAATTTTAAACTGCTAGTGTTTGATCTCTCTTTTCCAAAGATGTTGCCAATATTAAAACTAGAAAAAAAGTAAATTTTAAAAAAATAGTTTATATATATATTTAATTCGCGATCTCAACGCTTGAATAAGCCCTCTAGCGGGGAGGATATTTTCATGCTTTTATTTATTAAGTTCTCATTTAGTTCTATCAGAATCATTAGTTTTTTTTTTTTTTTTTTTTTTTTTTTTTTTTTTTTTTTTTTTTTTTTTTTNTTTTTTTTTTCTTTTTTTCAGCAGCAAATAAGAAGCAAAATTTCCCTAAGGAAAACACAGAACTTGAAAAACCATCCAGAACATTGGTAAATCATTCGTAAACAGAACGCGCCCGACATTTGAAGAACAATTTGTCAATAATTTTTTCCTTTGAATTATCAACAAACTTGCAACCGATAACTTCCGAATTCGTAATCGCATACTGTTAAAGATGGGAGTATGAAGGAAAAATACATTTTTTTTATCTTCAACTCGTTATAAATTAACGGGAAGTTATTTAATTCTACATTGCTTATTTCATTGTAATAAATAAATGTGATTCCAGTGCGTGCAGAACTGTAATAGTTATAGAATATTCTTCTTCTTTATATAATAGCATATATTTCTGTGAAAACAACAGTAAAGAAATACTTGAAAAAGTACCATTAGTGTTGATGATTAATAAATTTTTATCGTTTTCTTGGCAAGTATTTTCTTAATTTTGAATGCTCAATTTCAACTAGAATTCAGCTGTTCTGTTAAGTAACATAAGCTCATTGCTTTTAAGTTATTGAAATTCATATCGAGATCTTACAATTATAAAATTTTATTGCGTGGTATGTCATCTTAAAGTAATGAAGGGATAATCTATGTTTATATTATTGAGAATAAAATTTTCAAATGAAGAACATTTCAACTTGGAATTCTCCAGATTTATAAAGCAGGTAAGTGTTATGATTTCTAAAATAAAAAATTTGCTTGTAAATAATTTTTGCTCCAATTTTATGATATAGGGATGATTTTCTACATGTGATTAAGAACTTTGAGACTTAAAAAAAAAACAATATGAAAATTTTTCATTATTTCAATATAAGGAATTTTTGGAAGTTTTTTTTTTATTTTTATTGGAAGCATTCTTTATTTTACGTTTTTTAGTTAATAAATAATGATTTTTTATTGAAACTTTAAATTTTGTAATAGAAATTATTGTAAAAAAACTTTTTTGCAAAATAAAATGTGTTTATTATGTGTTTCTGTACTCTTTTCGCATATTTTAATGTTTGAAGTAATATGATTCAGAAAAGTATGGAATATAAAATTTAAATAGACCATTCATATTAGATCATAAAATTTAATAGAGCGATTTCGCAGGCATTAGGTTTTCTAATAAGAAAATAAGATACATATTTTCTTTCTGTTTATTTATAAATATTTTTCCGATGTGTTTTGGATGTTCCTTCCTTAAAAAAAAAATATGCTATTTTGTGTTGGCTTGCATAAAAAATAAGATCAAACATTTTTAATATTTAATAAGACACAATTAGGAAGGGGCGGTACCATGGTACACTGAAGTACTGATGGTTTTGTTGTTTTGCTAGCAGTCATTCGTCTCAAATAACAACGCCCCCTATAGGTCGCTGCGTTCACGAATAACAATTTGAAAATTTTTAATCCGCAGTTGGAATTTTTTCGAATTGTTCTTTGCAATACAATTTAAGGAATAGCGTTGAACGCTTTAATATTTAAAAAAAATAATTATGAAAGCTAAAGTAATTTTTTCTTTGTTTCATTTTTAGTATTTTATTTATTTATTTAATTGCAAGGAGAGAGCTATATAAATATCTTCATTAGTGTTTTTTCTCTAATCACTCATGTTTTTTTTTAATGAATAACAAATTAACCAAAATTGGTAACAATGGGATACCTGCAAGAGAGTGGGTATTTCGATCCAGATTGGTAGTTGAAACATATGGCATTTGTTTACGTTTTCAATTGTTCTTTCCAGTCTATTTCAAGTAAGCCAAGTACATCAAGTATCAATTCTCTTAAGTGACATATTCTATTTTTTTCACAAAGATTTCAATTCCTTCACTATATATTTTTTTATTGTTATTGGCATACATGACAGACCTGAACAATTTTCCATTGTTCATGATACTTTTGACAAGTGATGCTCAGAATCTGAGTGGCTGCATACATACACAGATGGTTCCTTTAATAAAATATGGAATTTTTTTCCAACCTTATCTTCTTTTACGACCTTGCAGGAAAATACCGAACTGCTTTATAGGAGAAGTAGAGATTATTCGAATTGCTCTTAAACACTTATTGATTTATGAAGATAAAACTTATCAAGTAATGGTATTTTCTAATATCCAAACTGCAATCCAGGTGATTAGTTCAACCAAGCCAACATCATTAAAAGAATCTCCACACAAATTTCACAATTCTTAAATTGGTTTCAATTTTAAAAAATAAATAAACCAACATTGACAAAAAAAAAAATAAGGCAGAGCACTAGAGTATAGAAACAGAAAATGAATTTAAAACAAATACTTTATTGGAACACTTTATGCACTATAATATACAAATGTATACAAACATATAATTCAAACCAGCCATTTTTAAATGAAAATTTGAATAAATTTACACCCATAATCTGAATGAAAAAGTATTTCTGACAATAATTTGCTACTATGTCTTTACATATGCAAACATTAAAAAAATATTAGGATTAAAAAAATTTTAATCTAAAAATTTACAGCCTTATGACAGCAAACAAGTGTTTTTACAATCTTAAATTCACAATTTTAAAATGCTTCAAATATTTAAATAACTAACAATTAATGAAAGAAAAAAGTTATTCACAAAAACTGGTAATGGTGAGTAAAATAATTGTAAAATACATTTTAATATTCATTAATTCTCATTTTAAGCAATGAAGAAAAATAAAAACAAACATTCTTTTTCAGACCCATAGCGTATAAAAATATTTATAAGCAATTGCCACAATCCACATTTATTCTAAAAGAAGCTATTGACATAGAGAAACAAACAAAAAAAGTTTACAAGGTATATGTATAGATAAATACAGTAGAATATGCATTTAACGAGGAGATTGAGAAATGGAAAAATGCTCATTTAATCGGAATTCAAGGTTAGCACATTAAATTCAAACATAAAAAAAGTCAACTTGCAATAAATGTTTCACATAATTTTTTTGTAATGCCTCAGAATTTTGTTTAATTTAGGTTAATTAATGCATAAAATGCATTAATGCATAAGATATTTCATAATCTATATTTTATGCAGCTTTAAAAAACAGCTCAAGATTTTGTAAAGACTCAACAGCATGCAGATGTTTTAAATAAAGTTTTTCTTCACAGTCGCCACATTTACTTACCTAATATGGGAGCTTTGTAAGTGTGATTTTCAGCATGTATACTTAAATATAATATATGAAATAAAATTTCACACAGCACTATGGAAAACAGGAAAAAAAATTGGTGCAATAAAATGAACTAAACTATATACAAGTCGTTTAATTCAATCTTTAATCATAAATTGAAAATTTGCACAAATAAATAAAATGTTTTTGATTAATCTGCTGTATGAAAATCAATCATTTTTTTAATACTACTAGCCAGGGGTAATTGTAAGCTCAATTAAAAAATCCTGAAAATTTCTTGCATAAAATCATTAATGATGCATTTCAAAAAATTAATGTCCTTATAAATTTAAATCATTGATATTTTCACAAAGTGAAATTCTACATAAATTATATACAACATAATTTAAATTAACAATTATGTTTTTAGTTTACTTTTATCTCTAATCACATTTAGTATTCTACCAGAAAAAATATTTACAAATGAAAGAGATGCCAAGTATAAATTCTAGTTCTAATATTTTTAAATAAAACATACAAGAATTTGTATTCATAAATGTGATCGATGATTTCTGTAAACTTCTGGACTTTGGATTTCTTGATCGCGGTTATCGAAAAATCTGGAAATCCGGATTTTTTCCGGAGCACAATCATCTCTGACTAACATAAATTTTTCAATGAAACTAAAATGCATATTACTTTATAGAAAATTCAAGTTCTTAAAATGAAAAATTAAACTATTTAGGCAATTAAAACTTTACATAACAATGTTCATAATTTTAAGAGATACTTCAGAGACACCATAAAAAAAGTAAAAAGTTTATATATTTCTTTACTTAAAGATGTTGACAAAATCCTCCTTCACGTGACTTGAACTTCTAAAATAAAATGCTTTCTGAATTCATAAAAAATCTCTTTAATTATCAGATTAATTACTTACCACAACTGAAACTTGACATTACTCGACCTTAAGGAACAAATTGATTTTTACAACCTATATATACTTTTGAAAAATATAACAGTGAAAAATATAGCTGTGAAAATAAAATGTTTAAGAAAAATACTACAAAACATTAAATGAATAATCCCAAGAAACTGAAGCAGTAAGATATTATCTGATTAAAAACTTCATTCGCTTCAAAAACATATTATAAACATATCAAAAACATATAAGAAATAAAAGTCAACAAGTTTCAAACTTGTAAATGGGCACTGGTGCTTGATCTCTCAAAAGTTGCTGGCTGCAATTTCCTATTAATATAATTTTGAAGCGAATGAAGTTTTTAATCAAGTACTTTAAGAAGCTTAAACAAAAATTATTATTTCATAAGAAAATCATTATTGATGTTCATTAAAAATTATAACTTAATGATAAAACTACTAGTGATAAAATGGATAAAAAGTCTTACATGATAATTATATGTCTATTAAATTTACACCATTCATTTGTCGATTAAATAATACACTATGTAACCTCAGTAATGAAAAAATATTAAAAATAATACAGGAGTCATAACATTTATACCAAAAAATGCACAAAGGTTAAAAAAAAAAAGTAAAAAGATAAAGCATAAATATTGAACAAAGCACTAAACTAATAATTGAGTGGGTCTGCAAGGAAAATTAAATTTTAATCAAAACATTTCTACAAAAATTTGTTTGTAAAATGGTTAATTTATTTCAAATATTTATAAAAAATTAATGTTATAGCAAGATTAATATTTTTAAAAAAATTACAAGTATTTTACTAGAATTTATATTTTTACATAGACAAGCAAAAATTGTTTCAAATTTGGTCATCAGGTGTTTCATAAAATCTCTAAACAATTTTCATTGCAACTACACTATATTTCTGGCTAAAAATATATTATATATCCCATATTTCTTCAAAATTCAAAATGTATTTGAGGTTTTTTCAAGAATTTTCCAAATTTCTCAATTTTTACTTTTATTATCTTACTTTCATTTTTTCTTTAATTTGAATAGAATATTGGTTAAGAATGACAGGTTTGATTGCAGCAATTTTTTAAACTTCAGACAACACCGACAAGCTTTACATGCATATTTACACAACAGATTATAATAGTTTTATAACATTCGTCAATTCTTCACTTTAAAACAAAACAATATATCTCAACATGTGATTTAATAAATCTATTAACATCATCTAACAATTCTTTAAACTACAGGATGAAGTCTACATCATCTAATAGTTATGTTGGAGAAATAAAAAGCGAATATATTTTTTCAGGCGATACAATGGAAACTTTAAAATCTAAAGGACTTATTTTACTTTCTTTCTCAATTAATTGATCTCTTAGAGTTTTCCAATCATGCAGATTCGAATACATTCTTGAAAGACTGTCTCCATCACCTAAATGAGCATATATTCTCAAAAGACCCCTATATTCAAATTCCAGTCCACTGTATGATTTCCCAAAGTGAGTGATACCTAAAATATAAATCAACAAAAAACATTCAAGAATTCCGTCTTACGTAAGGAAATAAGTTTCCTGAAAGCATTTTTCAATATCACCATCCACGAAAAAAAACAATAATGTTTGACATAGTGAATTAATGAGTTTTACATTTGTATTAAATTAAAAAGTTAGCTGTTACAATGATTGTTAAGAGAATAAAAAATTTATGTTTGCTTTTTATAACATGTAATAAAATAATTAATTGATTTAATTTAATTAAAAGTGGATTAAAAAATAAAATTAAGAAGTTTTAAAAGCTAGGAAATATGTAATACCTATTATCACAATATACATAACCGTCAACTCTTCAATACATAATTGCCAACTTTTCCCAAAAGATTTGATTTTTCCTTTAAGGTGGGGCAAAATTTAGATTTTAATAATTTATTTATGATTTAAAAAATTTATCTTAAATTAATTTGATTAAAATTATATATAAATATTTTTAAAAACATATGAAGAAGGCCGGATAGACATTTAATTTGAATTTTAGGTGCTAACGAATTTTAAAACATTCCTTCTTACTTACATATCTTTATGTAATTGTTACTTTCCTATCATATTGTCCTCAAAAGTGCATATGTTGGCAACTGTGCATATAATAAGATAAGCACTAAATGTAGAAAAGCAAAGGATCACAACGCAGAAAGAGTTATAGTATAAAGGATTTTGAAGATTAAAGAGAAAAAAATTTCCTTCTAGATCCTGCTAGATTTCCTTTCTTTCTCAATTATCTGTCATTTTGAAGAAGGGTTAAAAATTAACAGTAATCCCTAGATCTAAGATCACTTCAATTTGACTCAGACCATCATCAAAAAATTATCAGTAGTACATCCAAACCAGCAATTGATGTAAAAGATATGTTGTTTTGGCTGTTTTGATCTTCGGTTTCGTGGTTTGTTATTGTCTCAAAACAGTATATTTCATTATTATTATTTATGTATATATCTGTATTATAATTTTTCATATAAATACCTTTCATTAAATTATTTGAAGAAAAAAAAGCTAGTAGCAATGAAAATGTATATGGACTCGTAATATCTTTTAATTGATTAAATTTTCTTAGTTTCACCCCAGTCAAGTTTATGCATATTCTAGTTTACATATTTTAAAATAATGACAGCTACTTTCAATATTTTCTTTAAAAAAGTCAAACGTACATAAAAATATATATATTTCAATGATTGCAAAAAAATCTTTCTTACAATAACAAACAAAATTTCAAGTTTAAGCAATACAAGTTAAATGCCCAATTAGGAGAATTTATTGTGCAAAGTTTAAGCCAAAATTAGGACTAGATTTAATTCCTAAAAGTATGTATTGTCAAAAAGTAACAAAAATAAGCGTCTATTAAATATAAGAAGAAAAAGAGCACTTCTTTGAACACGTATTAACTTTTTTTACTCTGGTACACATGGATCTTTGTTTCAAAAATTTTCTAGTTTTCAAAACAATTTGCTTCTTTAAAATGTTTACAAGACAGAGTAAAAAAAAATAGAAATAATTCTTAATTATTACACAACCTACCTATATCTATGGCTTGCAAATGCAATGTTTCAGCTTCCTTATAAAGTAGCATATCATAATTATACAAAGATGCTAAATGGCCCACAGAAATGGCAACTTCATAATCATTACCTCCTAGCAGAGTGGATTTAATAGTAATAGCCTTCAAAAGCATTTCTTCAGCAGCCTTAAAATAAAATCAAGATTTATAAAAACTTTTTAAATTTACAAAATAAATAGATAAATTCCCAAGAAATAAAATCCAATACTCCTGAACTAAACTCAGTGGCTCAATAGCCCATAGAGGGCCAAGGCCTACTGTTCCCATCTCAATTTTCTTGACTTTTGGGCTCCGGGGTGCTAGAGCAGATGTTCCGGTTGGGTGGTCAGTCCAACGCGGAACCCCCATTGCTGGGTTATGTATGCTTGGTACTCATTTTATCAACCCACTGAAGGGATGAAAGGCTGAGTTAACTTTGCCTAGCCCGAGGGCCGAACCAAGGACCTGTGGCAAGACAGTGCAAAGCGCTACCACTCGACCAACGGCCGTCAAACCAATACTATTAGTTCTAAATAATAAAAACATAATATATGTGAAACTTTAATTCATGCTATTAACAAAATACCATTTACTTCTACCTTACATTATGTAAGGTACGTAGCATGATAACATGAATACAAAAAAATTTACGATACTTTTAGAATATAAAATACTTGATAAATTTAGATTCATATTTTTATCATGAATTCAACAAAGAAAAGTAACTTTGAGCTTTGTAATGTTCTAAGAATATTTATAACTAAATATAATGTAACTAAGAATATTTAATATATTATATATAATGTAACTAAGAATATTTTCCTCTAATGAAAAATTATATGAAAACACTACAAACATATTTCCAAAAAGAAAGATGTCAAGAGTGTTATGTAAGGATGGACATCAAGATACCTTTTTAAAATCATCATAAAAATTGAAGACAAAAAAAAAGAAACATATGTATTAAGGGTGGCAAATGAATATTTAAAAACAGAAAATTGCTAGAACAAATATAACCAAATAGTTTCAGAGTTATAAAACTTCAAAAAAGTCATATTTATAAATTTCTAAAGCGCTATTCAACTGATTCCATTCAAATTTTATGCTTTGACATTTGAAATTACACATTTCAAAATAGTATACCTTACAATTCTAAGTTCCTTGACTGTTATTAAATGAAATAATAAAAAATTAAGAAATAATAAATAAAATTTATTTTTTTATGTATCTTGTGACAATAGAATTTTAAAATGGAGTGAAAAAATGTTGTGACTGACTTAAAAAGTTATATGCTTGTTATTTGCATGTTCTAAACTAGGTTCTTTCTTGAAAATTCTATATCTTTTTTTTTTTAAAGATTTTTGTGAATTTTTTGTTTGTAAGTGTATACTCCAATTGTAAGAATCAGTAACAATTTGCAAGAATTAGTAATAAAAATACTCATATGATAAAAATGAATTTAATTGTGCACAACTATTTTTTAATGAATTAAAAGAGATCTAACTCAACATTATGAACCGAAAAAATCGTTTAAGAACTCTACAGTATTTACAAAACAAAGATCAATTTTCCTGACTTTCCCTAAAAATATCAACTTCCCTTGGCTTTTTCAAGCATTCTCGGTTTTCCAGACTGCCATATTCCCTGTAAACAAAAAGTTAAGTTCAAAATGCTAACGATTAAAAGCAGAAGGTATGCATGAACGATAATATTCAAGAACAATCAACTTTGTCATCATCACGACACTTTTCTATGAATTTCTTCTAGCCTGATGGGGCCCTTGCACCCTCTTAGAGTTTTTCTCCTTCATTTTGATACAAATTTTTGAATTAAAATTGGATAACATGAATTTATATTTGTGTTTTAAAATCTTTACACATTTTGCATTTGTGTTGAAACAAAAAAATTTGTAACCAATTATGAATCTTATATCTTAGATATTAATTCCATTTTCACACAAATTGATTTTGCTATATTTTTATTACTTTTGTTTCTTTCCCTCTGTCAAAGAAAAATATCTAAATAAATAATACTATTTTATGTGTATTCTTCCATTAGTTGAAAAGGATCAACAATTCCATATAAATATGTATTTTGTTCAACATTGAAATAAATTTAAAAACATATGTTTAAATATTTAAAATATGAAATTAAAATATTTAAAAATTAATATATTTAAAATAAATCCCAATTTATTTAACAAAATATACTTTTTTTCATCATTAATACACTACATTTTTAAAGAATGAATTGACTTCTAAACATTTTGTAAGACTAAAATGAAATAACCAAATTATTACAGCAAATTTAATAAACTCAATTAAAAATAATTAAAAAAACACCATAAATTCACCAATGTAACCAGTAACTAAGCTTTTCGTTGTTGATTGGTGCTAAAACCATTTAGGTGAGTATTGCAGTTTTGCCGTACATTGAAGAAAAAAAAACATGTTTTTTTATATAATTTTTTCCAGTGCTTCTGTTTTCAAATTTGCCATAATATAATTGTTGCCAATAAAATCTTTAAAATAAAACCTTTTTATGTGGTAATGTAAAAAAAATATGCATATTAGTTTAACAAAAAAGTCTTAAAGAATAATTTAATAAGTTTTGAATTGGTTATTTGTAATTTCTCCTACAAGTATAATTATTCTTGATCTGAAATAAATAAGCTCTTGTCTACAAAAAAAGCTATCTTACACACAGAATTTTTTTAAGACAAATAGGTAGTCATGAATCAAACCTCAACTACATAACAGAAAGCAACATAAAAAAAAATCTGCCAAATCTAAAATAGGAAATTGTACAGATAAAATTAATATCAGATAACAGCAGTAACAGAGATTAAAAAAAATTTTACATTATAAGCTAAAAAAACAGTTAAATTTAAGACGAAAAATATTAACTATGAAGAAATATTAAACTTGTACGTACCCCATATTTTTTCATGGACTGATATAATCTGCCAAGGTTACCGTAGTGTTTTGCAGCGAGAACATTCATTTCACCCAAGTAGTTTTTGGTAACACGAAGAGCAGATAAGTGGAGTTCTTCAGCTCTCTGAAACAATCTGTGCTGTGTTTCATAATCATGACTATCATTAGCAATTTCTTCAAAAATTAAAGCTGTGAAATCAAAAAAAATTAAGTCATTTTATATTGAGTTAATATTTTTTTAAATAAAAAAAATTCATAAATAATTAATAAGATATTTATAATTGTATATATTATTTTATTACATATTTATATTTTAATTATATATTTATACCTTTAAATTAAATAATTGAATGGATATCAAACATAAGAGTCATACACATTTCCATAAAAATTTATTATGTAAAATTTAAGTATATCATGTTGCAGAAAGAACTAAATTGATTCCCTGTCTCTTCAGTGAAGATTCAGTTAATTCAAGTAATTCTGTTAAATATTATCATATAAGTTGACTCAAAAAACTATAATATTTAACAATTTTATATCTTAAGTATTAAATTCAAAATATTTAAACTATTTTTAAATGTGACAAATGAAACTTTCTACACATAACTAGTTTCATACACAAACAAAAACAGTAAAGAAAATATCACAAAATATTTTACAAATGTATTTAATATGCATGAACAACACAAACTCAAAATGAAGTAAAGGCACCCAATGTCTGTTATCTACATATTTTTATAACTTATATTAGCAGTTTTTTAAAGATAGTTCTTATATCTGTTTTTATTAAAGAATTTCACATTTCTAATCTTGCTAGTAGAAGTTGAGGAAACATATTCCAGATTTGTTTAAAAAAATACCTGTATATCTATTAAAATTTTATTACATTAGAAAAAATGTCATTTTATTTCTGGTGATGAAATTTTTAAAAAACTTCACTAGTTGACTGGAAAATATTTCACTACCCTAGCAGCAAAATAACTTGGCCCTTTTTCGACTAATATTCATAATCTTGGCCCAATAAGGGATCAAAAGGCCATCATTTTTCCGATTGGTCCTATATAGAATTGTCCGATTCACCCGATATTTTACAGTTACTTTACAACTAATATCAGCCCTATATAGAATTGTCAGATTCATCCAATATTTTATATTTATTATTAAGCCAGTATAGGCCCTATATTGGCCAATATATGTTCTATATAGTACATCCTAGGACCAATATTAAAAAATCTAGGCATTGCAATATGGGTCCCTTAGTGTATCTTCTTAGCAGACCCATATTGATCCAATATTTAACCTAACTGGGGCCAAGGTAAAATTGTTAGGGTACTTACTACTGTTAACTTTTGAACCATCTATTAGACTTCTATTATTAACTACTGTTACTAATAGTTATTCCATTGACTTTGAGAACCTGTGAAACTCAAATGATTAACATGCTGATTTTAATCACTGAGTTTATCCACTCGTCTTGAATTGAGACCCTATGTGACACCCATTGATACCCTATGTGTAAGACAAGAAAAATATTTTTATAATTCTGAAGAAGTTTCCTGGATTATGGTTGGTAAAAAAATAAAGAAAAGAAAACAAAAAAAAACTTATTGTTTTTGAAATGTAAAAGAAAAAAAAATATTTGAAATTTCTGACATTCAAAACTAATTTATTTATTTTAAAACCACTAATTCACCAAGCTATGTAATTTGATTAGTTTATTTAAGGGTGGGGAGGGGATGCGGATGACAACACAATTTGATTGTTTACATATAATTTGCATAAATATTTTATATTTGATTGGTTAAAGACAAATTTAACCTGAAGATTAAAAAAAAAAAAAGTTTATTTTGTATTTTCAATGCTTATTAAGCCATACATAGTGCATTGATAATGTATACAAATTTATTACTAAAAAATGGTTGTTTATTGTTATTCAAACCCCTAAAAAGTCAAATGTAATGGAGTAAAAAATTTAATATTTTTTAAATAGTAAAATTCAAGAAAATTATTCAAGTTAATTATTTTATGAAAAATCACCTGTCAAAGAGGTATTATAGTCAAAAAACCTCAATTTTAATGTTCCTCAAATTTTAAAGAGTTCATACGCCATTAGCTAGTACAAAATTAAATTTGTGCCATTAAAATAAAATTCTTTAAAAAAAGATTGAATATAATTTTCCTGCTACACTAAATTTTAGTACTTATACAAATAGGAAAAAATAAAACGAACAGAAGAAATTCTAACTTGCAAACTTAGTAATTAAAAAGATTTTATCAAAAATATTTTTTTAAATTATTTTTATAATAAAAGAAATTTGAACAACAAGCATGATTTTATTTAATTAACAAAAATATAAATACCTGGTCAAATAAATCCTTACAGTTTTAAAAAACTATTTTTAAAATATCTGTATCACAAAAAAATACCTGTTATTCTTTTAGCTGAAGGAAGTAAAAAATGATCCTCACTCAACAGACTCTCTTTAATGGTACATGCTTTTTCAATGTGTTCCCTAAAAAATATAAAAAGTTATTACATAACTTTCCACTATGAAAAAATGGCTTAATAAAAAGAGAACATATAAAAACACCATGTTCACTGAATAACTTAAACAAAATTAAAAAGTTATAATTTTATATTGAAAAAGAATAATACCATTCATTGCACAATCTTTATGACGAAACAAGACTACCATGCTTAATGTACTAAAATTAAATGCATTCACCAAAGATAATGCATTTCCAAAGATGACCTAAATTTACAGTTCTCAGTTACTCATTAATAATTTCATTTTGTATAGTAAGGGCAAGCAAATCAGCTTTTTTCCATTCCTACATTTAGAATCTTTAAATCTTATTAGTAAATTGAGACAAAACGACCACAGAAAATTTTTTTATGGTTTATAAAGAACTGGTATTATGCAGAGAAGCAAAGGTGATTCAAACAGTTCAATATACAGAATTGTTTGGAGCATGGAATAGAAGAAAAATAATTGCTAACAACCAGAAAAAAATTTTTTTTGATAAATTTTGTAAACAAAAAAATAAATAAATTTAAGAGCTTTTGGAGCACTTTGAAACTTGTTAAAGTGATATTTAGTTTCATGTTCCAAAAATACACAATGATAAATAATGATGCAATAAAATGTAAGAATTCCAATAAAAAGGTATTATCACTTCTCTATAGGCCCTTAATTTTCAATAAATGTACACTAGCACTATTTAGCAAATTATATTAGACTTAGAGGGTAAAACAAACTAGATAAGCCAAAATATTCGTAAAAATAACTCAGTGAATGATAATTTAATAAGTCATATTGAAAAATCCAAATTGTCAGCACATGACCTCAATCTTTATCACTCTATGGGTTAAACATTATATTTTACTAGTTTTTATGCATTTTGAAAAGTGTATGATAAAAACTTTTCCACAGTATTATTGTTTTTCTTTATCCTTATAAAAATCTTAAAAAATTGAAAATTATAATAATAATTGAAAATATAATTAGAAATAATTTTTAAAAAAAAAAACAGAAAATCAAATATCCATATTCAAATTTCCCGAATGAAATGTGAAAAAATCAGCTTCAGTATGCACAGAAATATCAAGAACCTCTTATTTTTTCCAAAAACAATCTTATATAAAACTTGGCAGAATAAAAATAATATTCTTAACTTTCAGTTCAAGTTAAGTTACTTATTATTAAATGAAAACATTTGAGNAAGACAAATATTTACTTTGCATCCTTAAAGTTGCCAGTCTTATACTCATTCACATAGCAAGCATATGCTATATCTTCATGAACAGCGGCTACTCGTAGATTTTGGCCACCCAAAATGCTTGTCAATATGTTTAATACTTCCTACAAACAAAATTACATAATGAATACTTTAACATATGCCACAGTAAAAAGCCCAAGTCTGATAAATTCAAAGTTTTACCATTAAAACCTATCAAAGTGGTTTGGTAAAAGTAAGAAAGCATGCTTAGTATGATTTCATTTCAGCATTTTACCAAGCCTTTGCCATGAAACCTAGGAGTTTGATTTCCCAAGCCTCTTTAGCAAATCTTAGATTTTACTAGAAAAACTTGGGATTTATTGAACTTAGGGTTTTTACAGTAAGATACAACATAATAGTAAGATACAACATAATAGTAAGATACAACATAATAGTAAGATACAACATAATAATAAAATGCACTTACTTGGTACACTGTAATTGAGTGATGAGTGGAATCTATATGCAAGAGAAAGTAACCATAATCCATCAAAGCATCCGCCATTACTAAAGTACGTCGACCACAGCATTTTCTACAAAATTAAAATTACATACTTAACATTTTAAAAAATGTTTTAAAACAAAATACAAAACATATTGCTCTCAGGTGAAAAGCGCAGAATTGATTAGATAGGACTCAATGAGTATTTTCAATGAAAAAAAAAATTTAATTTTGATAGTATTCCTACATCATTTCCAACAAAGCAAAATCATTACCTATGTTTAGAGATACAAATATTATTCTTAATTTAAAATAATTTTTAAAAACTTTAAATGTTCATTTACAAGAATTGGACTGAATATAGACTTTGTGAAATCTGTTAATATAAAAAATAGGTTCTGAAAATTGCATAACAAGGTTACAAATTAATTAATTCAAATTAAAAAATTTCACCTATCTCAAAATGTAAAACAGCTAAAAAGGAAAATGGAGATTGAAGACTTAATTACAGAATATTGATAATTTGGAAACATAAAATCAATAATTAATATTTTTTTAGAGAATGCCTAAAAACTATTGAGTCTTTTAAGCAACCTTGATGAAAAGTATACATTTTAATTCATTTCAACGTCATCAATAAACAATATATCTAAAAAGTGGATGTGGGCAATGAAGTGGTAGGCCACCTCCATATTTTAAGCAACTACTAATTCAAGTATCAGGACAAAATAACCTTCTAGGGAAGCCTCTTGAGAAAAATTAACCTCCATTATCTTTACATATAGAAGAAAATCTTGCCATAATTAGTTCAATAGCAATGTGACTCTTAATTTTTTCTGCTCAAATAATAACTTTTGTCGGAGTCAGAATTATGTCATTATGTAAAGTAGTAAATCAATCAGTTCTAAATAATTGTCACAGGGATGAGATTGGCTAAAAAGCAAAAAAGCTGAATTTCCAAGCGAGTAAATTTTACGCATGTGCAATCGTTTAATATTAAATTCCAGACAGTTTAAGATAATAAATAACTATGTGTTGAGATAAAATTGTTTACTAATTTATTATTATATAAATGATTACATCGATACTTAACATTTAGTAAAAAGTAAAATTACAAATTAAAAAAAATAAAGCTAGAAATTATATTTTTCTTCAGTTCACATAAGNACAAAATTACATAATAAATACTTTAATGTATGTCACAGTAAAAAGCCAAAGTCTGATAAATTCAAAGTTTTACCATTAAAACCTATCTTTTCCCAAAGTGGTTTGGTAAAAGTAAAATAGTATGCTTTAGTATTATTCCATTTCAGCATTTTACGAAGCCTTTGCCATGAAACCTAGGAGTATGAATTACCAAGCCACTTTAGTAAATCTTAGATTTTACTAGAAAAACTTAGGATTTATCGAACTTAGGGTTTTTACAGTGATATATACATGATAGTAAGATACAACATAATAGTAAGATACAACATAATAGTAAGATACAACATAATAATAAAATGCACTTACTTGGTACACTGTAATTGAGTGATGAGTGGAATCTATATGCAAGAGAAAGTAACCATAATCCATCAAAGCATCTGCCATTACAAGAGTACGTCGACCACAGCATTTTCTACAAAATAAAAATTACATACTTAACACTTAAAAATATATTTTAAAACAAAATACAAAACATATTGCTCTCAGGTGAAAAGTGCAAAATTGATTAGATAGGAATCAATGAGTATTTTCAATAAATAAAAGAAATTAATTTTGATAGAATTCCTACATCATTCCCAACAAAGCAAAATCATTACCTATGTTTAGAGGTACAAATATTATTCTTAATTTAAAATAGTTATTAAAAACTTTAAATGTTCATTTAGAAGAATTGGACTGAATATAGAGCTTACTAAACCTGTTAATATAAAAAATAGGTTCTGAAAATTCATTTATTTAAATTCAAATACATAATACAAATTCATTTATTTAAATTTAAAAATGTCAACTATTTCATAATGTAAAACAGCTAGAAAGAAAAATGGAGATTGAAGACTTAATTACAGAATATTGATAATTAGCAATAAAAAAAAATATTTTTAATTTTTTTTTCTTTATTTCCAATGCAGCAGGTGATATAGACATTATCCTAACGCCGTACAGAGATCAAAAGAAAAGAAAAATACAAATACAGAACATATGAAATATTCAACATACAAAAACAAAACATCAAACACAAAAATTAAATCAAGAACAATTAGCAAACATAAAATCAACAATTAATACTTTTTTAAAGAATGCCTAAAAACTATTTAGTCCTTTAAGCAACCTTGATGAAAAGTGTACATTTTAATTTATTTTAACGTCATCAATAAACAATATATTTAAAAAGTGGATGTAGGGTAATGAAGTGATAGGCCACCTCCATATTTTAAGCAATTACTAATTCAAGTATAAGGACAAAATAACCTTCTAAAGAAGCTTTTTGAGAAAAACTAACCTCCATTATCTTTACATATAGAAGAAAATCTTGCCATAATTAGTTCAATAGCAATGTGACTCTAATTTTTTCTGCTCAAATAATAACTTTAGTCAGAGCCATAATTATGTCATTATGTAAAGTATTAAATCAATCAGTTCTAAATAATTATTAAGAAGTTTCTTTACTTTTCTACATTGAATAATGATGACTAAAACTCTACTATAGTAAATAGCATACATGCTACAGCAATATACATGCACAACCTTTTGTACTGAATTAAAGTCATGCTCACTTCACATCAAAGAAATGAAGGGTTGTTACTTATGCCATAAGTTTGATTTTAAATGCAAAAAAGTCCTACCCCAGACTGGATTTGGTCTCATCAGGCCAAAGATAACATAGAAAGCTAATATATATGCAATCTAAGGAAAAGCTACATATAATTTGAAAATGGCACAACTAAAAGTAATCATATATTTAAAAAAAAAACTATTATATTTACTTATACTTTACACTTATCATTAATTCAAAGAACATCAACAATTTCATTCACAATTTAACCTTTAACAACTGTTTTTTAAAGACAATTAGGAGACATACACAAAATCAAAATTATCAATTAATTACCTAGCTTTGACTAATGCTTGCTTGATTAAAAACTCTCCTCTCTTAAAACACTTTTTCATTAAACATGCCTGAAATATAAAAACATACCAAATAAAGAACTATAAATGCTTTAGCAAGTAAGCCTATTATAGTTTATGATACTATTCTGGCACTTAAAAAATTATCTAATGCTGAAATTTTGCATAATTACACAAAGTTTGCAGTTATGAAATAAAACAAAGCAATTAAGAAATTAAAGAGCATACTAACAATGCTCAGTTTAGAACATATTATCAGTAAAATAAGAGCCTAATTTTAAATCAAAAATTCTAACATACCTTAGATGCATTACAAAGAATGTTGATAATTTCCTAAAATGAAAATTATTAAGGTTTAGTCAATTATAGCACAAGAATAACATAAAATTTAACTTTAAAAAGCTTAAAACAATTTTAAATATTTATTAATGCTCACTCAAAGCAGAATTTACAACAGTATCTATTCAAAATGTCAAATTTGTGAGTGACTCCTAAGCAGTCGGGCAGAGATTATTATAGTAAAAATTGAGTTTAATGTAATATATATTTAGCACAATTGGAAAACATTAAATATAGTACAATTATGCACAAAAACTGAATTTATTTCTAGTTTTATACAATCATATTCTATCATTGCCCAAAAGTTGTAAAACAGATTCTTATTTTAAGCCTAATAAAAGAATCAGAAGAAAAAGATAAACTTTCAGATGACAGAATTAAATTAAATCTTTTCATTTTAAAGAAAGAAACAAAAAGAATTGTAATTTATTGTGTTCTAATTTGTACCAACTTAAAGCTTCTTTAAATGAATTTCCTTAACATACCATCTCAAGTACTTTGTAAACAAATAATACAATAACTAGAAAAATGAAAATTGTTTTTTCTTAGTATCAAATTTCAAAAAAGGAAAACTATTCCTTATTTTTCCTAAATGAAGATGAAAAAAATCTTTTCTGTTTCAAATCTTCACTTGTTCTTTTTTTTTTCTTTTTTTAATATGAATTGAAAATTACTCTGTGGTGCCTATTGCCATGCTGGAGGGTTTCTGCTACTGGGGATGTTCAGAACCTGTTTAACTTCGTTTAATTAAAATTAAAAATTACATGTTAAAAGCAAATTTATTGAATTTATCCAAGTAATAAATATGTAAAAGTTTCTTTATTAATCTAATTTAAAAGGCAAAGGGATTCAATCAGGAAAGAGCAATATAAATTAAATTATAAAATTAATCTGATTCTTAGCAAAATATGAAATAAAATACTCACCTAGATTTATCTAAGTTAACCCATCTGGGTAAAGTGAACAATATGTTTTTCATTAAATAATATATTTAATTGTTTAATGTAATGGTGAATTCTCTCAATTTTATTAATTTTTTTCCCCTTTGCAATTATTCAAAAATATATTTCATGCAGCCAATGAATATAAGACTATGTTTTATCTTCATTTTACTTCAGAAAATATCAGATATATAACAGAAAGTAATTCTAATTACATTATTGTCTAACCATAATATTAATGTACCAGCCAATAATACTTTTTTTTTTTTCCGTGTAAATGCAAAAAGATTTTTCTACAACCAAATTAAATTTTGGACAAAAATATCATACCTTAATTTCAAAAAATAAGATGCATTAATTTCAATTATGGGCAATATAATGAATACCATTTTTGTATTTTATTTAAAATGGAAAATAATTTTAAATTAAACAATCATGTATGAAAAAAGATTTTAGAATTCATTACTAAAGTTGACAAACTAATTAAATATTAATATTAGTGTTTAAAAAATTGAATTAAATTAGCATATTTGGTTATTTTTACCATTTTAACTAATTACAACACATAAGGACGATAAAAAACTAAAGCAAGTTAAGCTAAATAAATTATAATTTTCAGTGATATACCATGATGCTTAAAGTAGACATTTATCTTCTTTTCACTTTGGAACAAAGATACAGTTTCATAATGTAGAACTGAATCTTTCTATGTACTATATAAAAAAATAATTTCAATGTGATGCAAATTTTATGAGATATATTTAAATAACTTATATATTATGATTTTCTTTTATTTGATTTATGATCATCAAAGAATTAAAATGAAATTACAATTAAAATTTAGCAACAAACTTGTAAACATTAAGCATTAACAAAGTCCTGATTTTCAGTTAAACATTCCTGTGTTAAAGGAAATATTGTTAAAAATAAATTAACATATTAGCATGAATATTTAACAAAGTTTTGAAATGTGACGTTGACTGGATATTTTATTTTAATGAACGTATAGCNAATTGAAAATTACTCTGTGGTGCCTATTGCCATGCTGGAGGGTTTCTGCTACTGGGGATGTTCAGAACCTGTTTAACTTTGTTTAATTAAAATTAAAAATTATTTGATAAAAGCAAATTTATTAAATTTATCCATGTAATAAATGTGTAAAAGTTTCTTTATTAATCTAATTTAAAAAGCAAAAGGATTCAATCAGGAAAGAGCAATAGAAATTAAATTATAAAATAAATCTGATTCTTAGGAAAATATGAAATAAAATGCTCACCTAGTTTATCAGCTTTATCATTTTAATAATTTATCTAAGTTAACCCATCTGGGTAAAGTGAACAATATGTTTTTCATTAAATAATTAATTTAATTGTTCAATGTTATGGTGAATTCTATCAATTTTATTCATTTTTTCCCCTTTGCTAGTATTCAAAAATATATTTTATGCAGCCAATGAATATAAGACTGTTTTATCTTCATTTTGCTTCAGAAAATACCAGATATATAACAGAAACTAATTCTAATTACAATATTTTCTACCATAATATTAATGTACCAGCCAGTAATACTGTTTTTTTTTCTCTGTGTAAATGCAAAAAATTTTTTCTACAATCCAATTAAATTTTGGACAAAAATATCATATGTTAGCTTTAAAAAATAAGATGTATTAATTTCCACTAGAAAATATTGAGTTTAACAATTTGGGTGTGGTGCGTTTAAAGCACTATATCCTCTGACAGAGGCTCTAGACATCATATTTTATAGTCTTACTAAAATTTGTTATTGTGTCATACTTTAAATTTAGTCATTTAAAATTCCACCATTGCAACCATATATTCATGAACTACCTTTAAACACCTCACGAATCTCTTGGGGGTTGCAAACCACCGGTTGGGAATAAAATGACTTATAGATATGATTTGTAATGCTACATAACAACAAAATTCTAGACTAATATTGATTGCTAGGGGGCTTCGCCCCCTGCTCGCTACCGCTCACCGACCCCTGGAACTGTTTTCGCAATCCAATGCTCGCTTTGCTTGCTCATTGGATATGTTCTTAACGTCTAGCTTTTGTATACTTTTTTGAATACTGAAGTTCCGAAAACTTTTCACTGTAGAAAATTCTAAACCTGTACATTTCAATATTATCTGGGCATTTGGAGATATAACACTTATAGAATTGAAGGATTTTTTACGTCAAGCACTCAGGTATCATAATTTTGATCTAGTTGCGCTTCTATGTCATTTTGATTTATGTTGCTAAGTTAACTTTCAAAAAATTCTATGGCTGGCAACAGCATTTTTATTTTTTAAGTTGTTTATTTTTATTTCTTTTAGAATTCGTTATTTTGTTAGCAAAATGTTTTTTAACCTAACAGAATTTTTTGCCGACTGCTCTCTGTATATATGAAGAAAATAAAGTAAATATTTAAGTGCTGTGAAAAGTATCTTATTAAGTTGCACAAAGTACTTCTTTAAAATTGAAAACTGTTGCCACCGGCGGAAAAGAAATACAGCCAAAATTTGGGAGCCACGTAAGAGAATTATATATATTAGATTATGAGCAATATAATGAATACAATTTTTGTATTTTATTTAAAATTAAAAATAATTTTGAATTAAACAATCATGTACGAAAAAAGATTTAAGAATTCATTATTAAAGTTGACAAACTAATTAAACATTATTATTAGTGTTTAAAATCTATTTAAATAAGCATATTTTGTTATTTTTACAATTTTAACTAATTACAACACATAAGTCTAGACTAACTAAGGCAAGTTAAGCTAAATAAATTATAATTTTCAGTGATATACCATGATGTTTAAAGTAGACATTTATTTTATTTTCACTTTGAGACAAAGATACAGTTTCATAATGTATAACTGAATCTTTCTATGTAATACTGAATGGAATAACTGACTACGAATAACTGAATCTTCCTACGTCTTTCTATGAATCTACTATGTAAAAAAAATAATTTCAATGTGATACAAATTTTATGAGATATATTTTCTTTTATTTGATTTATGATCATCAAAGAATTAAAATGAAATTACAATTAAAATTTAGCAACAAACTTGTAAACATTAAACATTAACAAGGTCCTAATTTTCAGTTAAACATTCCTGTGTTAAAGGAAATATTGTTAAAAAAAATTAACATATTTTCATGAATATTTAACAAAGTTTTGAAATGTGACGTTAACTGGATATTTTATTTTAATGAACGTATAGCTTTTGTCTTCAAATAAAAATAGCACTGATCGAAGAATAATAAATTCAAGATGATTTTTTTCATTAAGGACATCATGGTTTTAAGTATAGAATATTTAATCTTTTTAAATAAATACTATATTTTAGGTATTCAAACTATTTCAAAGTTAAAGAACTCATTAAAAAGATTAACAGTAAATTTCACAGCCAATATCATAATTTTTAAATTTTGACACAAACTCTAAGAAAAATTATCTTACACGAGTAGGAAGGGTTGAATCTAGACATTTGATAGCTTCTTCACTCCATTTATATGCCTAAAAATTTAATAAATAAATTAAAACTAATAATTTAAAGGAAAAAAAAATTTAACCAAATACACAAACAAATCAAACCTCTTTACTGTGACATTGCATGAAATAGAAAGCAGAAAATTCGCTATACAATCCGGCAAAATTTATTCTAAGTCCTAGTCTTTCAGCTAACTGTATAGACTGTAATGCTTCCTGGAAGGTTGATTCTGCTTCTTTAAATTTACAATAAAGTGTTCTAACTTTCAGTAATCTAAAAGAAAAAAAATTATAAGTATAAATTCTATTTACTCCATTTAGTTTTGTTAAATAAAATGCATTAGAACAAGAAAAATTACATTAAATAGAAATATGATTTCTATCATAAGATATATATGGAATTGTTTGCTTAAATAAACAAGAATAAAACAGATTTGGTTTATTTAAAAGAAAAAATTCTACAACACAAGCATTTAAACTTTAAAAAAAAGTTAGATATTCTTAAAAAAATTTATTTTTATCTATTTATTTTTACATCAGAGTTTAATGAGTTGCTTTGAATTGAAAAAAGTTACAGATTTAAGTTCTGTACAATTTAGAATGTTCTTTTGATACCTTGTAGAAAATTATTAGGAAAATAGTAAAAGAACACTATTTATCAATGAATTCCAGTGTTATCCCAAAGCGTTTTGAAAAGGGTGGCCCGCACTATTTATCCTTTGATCCCTACAAATACGCCCTTTTTGTAAAAATAAGTTGCCATCTCTTAAAAACACTGCCTTTTTAGTCATATTCCATTTAAAATTAATAAATCACTGCTTAAATAATAATAACACATGGATAAAAATTATCAGTGTTTATAGGTTTAATTCTGATTACTATTACAAATATTTATTTCGTTAGGATTAATCTCAACTGGATAAATTTTTAAAAATTTTTTTTTTTCAAAAGATGATATATATTAATGAATTTTTTGAAATTTTAAAAATATTTTTCAAGCCGACTGGCTTGTCTAGGGGGCAGGTAGCTGTCTTTGCATCAGAAAGGTTCGGGGTTCGAATCCCGGGCAAGGCAAGGGTGTTCTTTCCTTCTCTTTACTATCTGTCCTCACTGCGGGAGCGACGTAGGCCCATCTGATATGGTGCCCCTGAAAGAGAGGCTAACAAAATCTCCCTGTAAATGCCTGAATTGACGGATGTTAATACAGGTGGTTATTGGAAAGAAGAAAAAAAAATTTTCAATAAATACTTTTTTTTTCAAAGAATCACTTTTAAATTATCATTTTTTTATAATTTTCAATTGAAATTATAGGAAAACGCTTGTTTATCATTTCATAAGTTGTTTATCAATTAATCATTTTTTTGCTAGTTTACTTTTTTTTAAAAAAATAAGCACAANTCTTTCTTTTTCTTTTTGAAAAAAAAAAATTTATGCTCAGAGATGGTCTTTTAGCATGTCTTTAATTATTTTTATTAACTACACATTTTTCTCTTGTTTTGATAATTTGTAAGAATTATTTTTTGAAATATATACATAAAACAGTATAAGAGGGTAATTTAAAAGTTGTTAAGGATCAAATTCAGCTCTTACATAGTATTAAACAATTTGATAAATTTTTACGGTGTTAAACGAATGCTCTTTTCTGCGAGGAAGTCTACGGTGAACTCTAGAATTCTGTAAGACAAACTAATAAGTTATTATGTAAAAGCATTTATACATATAAATATCTTATATGGGTGCACGAAAGACGCAGAAACTTTTCAGCCAAAAAGCAAAAAGAGCGTCTTTTGAACTACGCTTGGAATTAACTCTGCTTCTAGACTTTTCTTCTTTGTTATCTTTACAAAGTCAGTAATTAATTAAAAACAGGATTGAAATTTTTTTCGGAATAAAGAAATTATTCTAAATCAAAGATAATGTAATCAGCTTTGATACATAAAAGAAAAAAATTTTAAAAGGAGTGACAGCAGACACTGGATTGATGTACGGAATAGAAGTAGGTTATTTTCTGATTTAACAACAATTTGAAAATGAAATATTTGCAAAGAAATTAGTAACAAAGAAAATATAGATAAAATAAATAGAGAAACAAACCACTGATTTAATTATTCTAGTTATAAATCGGAATGTATCTCACATTTGATAGCATCTTTGAACAAAAATTTTTCTTACCATACTATATTTTAATAAAAACAATAATAAATAAAAACAACAAAAATATAATTTTGAGAACAAACAATCTGATATTGGTCATTATTTCAAAATATTTTGGAATAAATCCATGTCGATCGCATAATTCTTGCTTATAAGTCATAGGACAATGAAACTATCATATACTTGTCACAAGCGTTACAACATGATAATTTAATTTTTAAGTGCAAATAAGCCACAGACTGTCTAATAGAAATTACTGTAAGTCAAAATTCATAATGAAAGCAATGATGATTTCCAAAAGTGAAAATTGCATTAAATATAATTGATTAAAATAATTACCCCATTGAAAAAGCAATTACCTTTTAAGGCACTCAAAAATTACAGACCAACCAATAGTTTGCGTATTTCTCCGAGACAACTCTAAGCATGTCAAATATACTATCTCACTTTCAGGATACCAACCAGCATCAGTCAAAAAAGAACCTAAACATAAAAGTTCATTTGATATTTAATTATAAAGAAACATTAATTAAAATAAATTTTTAAAGTAAAGTTAGTTGTACATTGTAAGTCAAAATGAATGCCCAATTTCATAGGCGCACTAGTGTAATAAATGTATTCATTAAAAAGGTATATACACGGAGACCCTAATATAAGAAAGTTTCGGATGTACTCCTATCAAAACATGTGTTCCTTTTGTTATATAGCATACATCAAGCTTTAAATGCAATTCTTGACAAATCTTCAAATCAATCATGGTTGCTAGACATGGCGGAACATACACAAAAATTTTTATGAATTTTCAGAGAAAAAATTACATAGTGTGAGATCTCGAGATTGCCACCGTTTTACAGCAGCATTTTTCTGCCAATTTTATTTTTCTAGAGGGGCTGATGTCCATTAGATTTCCAACACCATATGTTAGTGATTATATTACCTCAGCATGTTATGTACATTTATAGCATGTTGCATAGTACGCCAAAGATGTTAGAAAATTCATTTTGACTTATGCTGTATTTAATGGATATGATGTAGCTTTATGCCCACAAAAGATTAAATTAATATGCACATATATTTGCAACATATAAAAATATGAACCAAAATGGATTTAAATTTTATATTAAAGCTTCAGAATGAACAATAACTGTTTATTCAGAAAATAAACAGGATGGAAAAACCCTGAGTAAAAAAATTTTGATAATTTGTTTTAGACAAGAATTGAAATTAAACTAATACAAACTATTAATAAATGCTTCATATAAAAATCAAAAAATAGAAAATATCCCAGATGCAAAAATATAAAAGAATTAACACTAAATATATGGATATTATTATTTAAGTAAAAGCATAAATCCAAGACATTAAAGCATATTTCAGGATTAAATTCCAAATAAATAATCCATTCAAAGCGTAGAATATGAATTAAAAACTTAACTAAAAATATTTTGGATCAGATAGAGACCAAATTTTTAGAGTTACTTAAAATAATTCTAGTTTTTTTATAACTTTTAGTTCAGTGACGCACCCACTTGAAAATAGATTTCTTTGGTGAGCCACATACTTTATTCAAAAGCATGAAAATAAGGTATGACCAGGACAGCGCACAAATTGTGAGGAGCATGCTTGGTTCCTAAGATCTGGAGGCTCACATATCTGTACATTAATTAAAATTCAGACACTTATGGTGATGCTAACATTATTTTAATGATATATATCACACCGTGCATAAGAAATATGAAAAATGTCAAAAGGTAAAACACATAAACTAAACATGATGATAACAAAAATCTAGGAAAAGGAACAAACATTTTGCAACAAACATTAGCACTGTGACAACAAACATTACAAGTAGCAACTCTATATAAACTCTTGCATAATATTGATGACAATACAATTTAACGAAAAACTATTTTACAAAAAATTATTTTTTGTGCAGTCAGGCAATTGTCATTTGTCATGAATTTATATATTTTGTTCCAGATTTTTTCCCATATTAATGAGAGGACGAATTCAAAAATTTATTGTGATTAATATCTTAGCATAAATAATAATTTATAAAAACTTAAGTAAGGTGTAGAAAAGTAATTTCAGTTTTGCGTTTAATGCATATAATTTCAAAATTATTAAAATGTGTATATTAGTGAAATATTATATTTAACTAAAAATATGATCTTCATATATAAACAAAAATAAGCAAAACTGAACAAAACTAAAATAGTTAGAAATCTAATTTGGACAATATTTGCTACATTAAAACAAACTTGTATCAATTATTATTGATTATATTGCCGAGTGGCTTTCAATTGCGATGAAAAGGTTTATTCCTTAAGCAGAATTTACTTTAAGTATAAAAGTTGAAATTAAGGCATCTAGTTTCAAATAAATAAAAAAAATCATTTTCAAAGCATCTAGAAATCCTTTGGTCAAAAACATTTGCTCTTGTTCACCGTTTTAAGCTCATAATTTTTTACAAAATATATAATTAATCATCTTAAAAATAATTAATAAAAGGTGAATGAGGTTCAAAATCTAGATTAATTTTATTCTTAAATAAAATGTCAATGAATAAATTAAATATAACTGATATATAAAAAAAAACTGAGGATCTGATTGATCATTAATAAAATTAAAAATTTTATAAATAATAAACTAAAACTGATTAATTCACAGAAACAAAACTGTGTGAAATATTCTAACGAATAAAAACATGTTTACAAATAATAACCATTTTATATTTTTCCAGTAAGGCCACTTAACACAGCTCCATTTTTAAAGAATTTATAAAAACGTGCAAAAAATACTAGAAAGAAATTATTTAGGTCAAAAGTTTCCTTAAAATGTAATAAAAAGTAATAAAAACAAAAGTTTTGTAAATTTTTGATAATTCTCAGTAGTTACTTAGCAGCACAGTAAAAAAATAATAGTAATAATAATTTATGACAATTTACCCCCTACTTATAACTTATACTTTGAACACAAACCCAGTTGTCTAAACACATTAAATACTAATAAAAATATAAAAGAATGTAAATATTAACTGTTATCACATCACAATACAAAAATATGTTTAGAAATAAAAACAAAAATTACCTAAAGAAAATCCCAATTGTATTGTCTTCAATTCATCAAGATGGAAGCTCTGTAAGAGATATTTCTGAAATCCATTGGCTAATTTTAATGCAATTGGACATCCTACATCCATCAGAGCTTGAAATGCATTATGTAATAAATTCCTAAAGAAAAATAGAAACTTTTTAGATAAAGTAAAATAGAATTAAGTGATAATTTTAAGAAAGACATTTGAATTTACATTATACATACGAGGATGAAAATATTAACATGACTGTAGGGGGGAGCAGCAAAGATATTGGCATAGCCGTTGTTTAATTGAAGGTTTTAATGACCATTATGCACATCTGAATCTGATTATTAATAAGAACTGAATTAACTACAATAATGACCTCTCAGGGATGTGTGAGTATTGCTTAGTATTCTTTACATTGATGATTAATTTTTAGGTTAAGGTTCGTTGCATGGCTTTTTTTAACTACATTGCATGGATTGGTAAAAAGTTTTCAAATAAACTCTGAAGCAATATATGATGCACAGAACCATAGGATGTGGTACTGGTGTATTGAGAAGTTTGGAGTGTATAAAGAGATTGGATGTTCATTGACTTAATTTTATAATTATAAGATTTGATAATTGTAGATCCATTAAAACCTTGACGATTTTGATCGAAGAATTAAGTTTAACTATTTTGTAGAAAATAAATAAGATATATTTTTTCAGGAAAGTAATTTCTACGAGTTAAATCCCAATCGCAAAGCTGGATTACGCCATTTAAAAAAATATTGGTTCTATGTCTAGAAACTATATTTTTTTAAATGGCGTATTTTACACAGCCTTTTTGCATTTAATTGACAAAAATATTTTTATAGCTACCACAATGTGTACTTTAATAACCATGTTGATACAGTTTTTAGTTACATATAGTTTTCAAATTTAAAAAATTTTAAACAATTTCAGAAACAAGACAGAAACTAATTGTGCTCCCCATGCCTACGATTACCCACACGTTAATCGTAAAGCTATGCAAAGGGTTAAGCCTTCTGCTATGAACCACTTGTAGCCTATTTCAATTGTCAAGCTTTGATGTTTATTTTATTGCATCCTTTTTATATTTATTTATAAAATCTTTTAAATTATAAAACATATATTTTCCAAATTTATAAATCCTGGCACTAAACATTGCTCTATTTTAACTCAAATCTGGTATCCAGAGGTAAACAGTTAATATAGGTTGATTTTATTTTTAATTATTTTAATATAAAAAAAATTGTTCAACGAACACTATTCAATCAGTTCTTGGATAGCAATCATTTGACATAAGAATAAATCTGACTGAATTTTTTTTTTGTCCATATATGATATTCTTTATGATTTCGTTCAGATAAATAAAATTGAAAATTTCAGCGCAGTTGGGTTGCAAAACTCTTTGGGGCCTGAATAAAAGAATCCAAAAACGCTCTGATGAAGAAGAAAAAATTACAAAACATGGTTGTTAAGCGGTAAAAAAATCAAGCACAAAACATTAACAATATCAAAATTGTAACATACCTTTTATCAGTAACTTTCAACAGTTTTGCAAAAACTTCTAAGTTTTCACATTCTCTAGCTAGTCGTACTAAATCACCCTTTTTGTAAAGCTATACAAAGAAAAGTTTAAGTCAGTAATGTGAGAAGTAACACCAATTTATTATCATATAAAAATCACAAAAGATAAGTTTGAAAATTTTTATGCATTAATTTAAAATTTTTATAAAAAGAAATGTGTTTTTTTCTGATGAATTTTATCAGGACCATACTGGTACATTTAGCTGTGGGCAAAGTATGAGTAAAAGGGAAATAGTGGAGTTTTAATTCTCCAAGCATTGTTATAATAACCTTTTAATAATCTTCTCATAACTTATCGGGTATATATATTGTAGTATAACATTTATAGCATTTTAAATAAAAGTTTGAAAATACTTATCACTTTTGTTGAAATTCAATTTATAAATAATAAGACTAATTATTAAAATATTATTGATATAAATGTATTAAGAAAACTGTAATGGTAAGTTACCTACACACACCCTTCCTCACAGAAACAGATTTCATAATTGATTCCAATCACAAAAAAAAAAACAATAATCTGATACTATATTTAAAACAAATTTTCTTTAATCAATAATAGTATAAATTATTTTCTGAGATATTTATTATTTCAGTAAATTTTGAATTTAACTGTATACCTTCTTTTTTTTTGTACAATTAGTTTTGTAATCTAATATACCTGCAGAGATATATCAGTGTTTTCCCTACAGTGCGAGAATCTTGCATATTTTTTTCTTTTCTAGCAATAAAAAATTATAAACGCGAGAAGTTTGCGCACTCTGTTAATCAATATCAAAATGCGCGAATTTCGGAAAAAAATTCGTCTTTTGTCATTTTAAATAAAATCTGTTTCACTTTTCTTCCTTGATCTTTCATTATTTTGAACATCGGTCCTTGTTATCTAACTTCCCTATTTACCAGTATTGTTCAGAACCGGTACGGACAGCAGAACCCCCCTCCCCCCGAAACCTTTTTTTGAACACATTTCTCTGCAGCCACGTGTTCACCGTAGGTAAGGTTTATTCACGTAAGATGTTTACACTTCTTGTGCATGAATGTAAGATGGACAAATACCTTGTTAAGACGGCATCTTCTACTCCATAGCAGACAAATTAAAATGAAACAAATGTCGGTAGAAACGGTTAAAACGAAACAAATACAGATATTTTTCAGTCAAATAAATATAATAGCTGATGAAAAACTAGATATAGAACATTTTCCAAATGATGATGCAGCAAAAATATTCAATTAGAAGAAGTTAAAAATGCATTATAATTAAAGAAATAATTTTTTTCCAAGTCTACTTGTGTTTCTTTAATTTTTAGAAGTCTCATTTAACTTTTTGAAATCTCACCCTGTTTTTGAGAAAGGATGAGAAATTCTCTCCCATTTTTTTTCTGTAATGAAAACACTATATATTACATTTAATAATAGTATTGATTTTAGTTTTTATTATTTGAGCGTAAATTAAAGAAATTAATTACACTAAGAGAAATAAGACATAAACTAAATGCTTAGCATTTTTAATATGTTTTAAAAGACAGATTAGTAGAGCGAATTATTATGTTTAAAATCGAATATAACATTTGTCTATGTGAAATGTGTCTATATGTTTACCATAAATAGCATTTCTCACATTTTGAAAAAATAATAGATTCTTTGAGTACTAGAAATTTATTTTAGTAAACAATACAGTAGCATCATTTGACTATCTAGTAAAACATATTACTGGGAACAAATCTCTCCATACTAAGAAACGAAATGATTTTTTAAATCAAAAAGACTTTTCACACTTATAATTGGAAATCATTCTTCAATGTAGAGAAACAAAAGTACCAAGAATATGCTTAAGTGTTATGGTAGCATTCAATTTCAAGAAACAAATAAAAAATTTAGTGTTATTGAACAATTTGATCTAAATTGAAAATAGTAAATGAAATAAACAAAAAAAAATTGCATCAAGTACAGCGCAAATAAATGTTAATTTTGAAACTAACTAATGAAAATCCTTTCACACTCTAAACACAATCAAAATAATATTAAGCACTCATGAAAAATACAGGTCAATTAAAACGCAATTAATAAATTCAATTATGAAAAATTCATTGACGATGGATGCATTTCAAAATACCCTTGCTGGCTTAACAGTCCATAAAAATAAGGAATTTACACAAGAAAAAAAAAGAGACAATTTAGTAACATAAATACATAATTAACCACAACAGTCGTATATATATACAGTTTAAGAAAACGCACAATCGATAATTAAACGTAATCCTCGATCTTTTGAAAAATAAGCTTTAAATAAATAAGAGCTAGTAATTTAAAATAGAACTTGAAACAGGAAATCAGTCTGATCATCTAAAGTTCAATAGTAAATATCGAAAGCAAACTAAGTTATTTACTTGCAAGCAAACATCAAAGAGTAGATCGCCATGAAATAGTTTAATGTCCTTTATATATGAATCATAATTTGAAACTACAGATGTAATTGAATAATTATAGAGTGTATCTGGTATCCAATTTAGTGAACGAGCCATTGTGGTATAAATAAATAATAAACAATTCTTTCTGAAAGGGTAGTCTGGAAATGTTTATATTTTGCTCTTTGAGGTTACAGTTAAAACTTTTATACGTCAGAGTATATTAAAATTCTAGAGTTATTTTTGCTGGTTCAATTTTACATCTATATAAGCACATGCGTAAGACTACAAAATGAAGGACGTTCTCTCTGGATGCGAAAAAGAATTCGCGCATATGAACTCGGAAATGAAAATGGAACTTGATTGGACAGGCTTATGCGTATAAATATGTTCCACCCTTGGCCAAAGAATACCTAAAGAGGCCTTTTCATTTCAATTCTAACCTTCAGTAAGGATAGGTTCGAAAAGGGACGAAATATATTGCACCTCCAAAACCCGTTNTCGCATGAGCGAATTTTTCGCGCCGAGTGTAAGTGGCTCTTAAAAATTTTAATTTTTATTTCTCGAAACAAGTCAGAGGTTGTCGTATTAAAATCAGTCCAGCAGTGGACTGATCGTTAAAAAACGGTTCCCAGTAGATCACCGAGGTCAAACACCACTGGCTGCAGTCAGTGTGCGGGTGGGTGTCCGCTTGGATCAGTCTTTGAGGGACCGAGGGTGCGCGATATTGGTTTTTGTTAAACTGTTTTACCGTAAAGTGCTCGAAATTGGGCCCAGGTGTTCGGACTACCGAAGCGGGGGTGCCATCCCCTCTGCAGAGAATCAAAATTGTGATGGCATGTCATCGGATCATTCTCTGGGATGTTTCCCAGACCGTCGCCAATAGGCCATTGTGCAGCTCTAATGCGGCGTAAATGAACAACGTACAACATCTTTTTAAATTTAATCGAAATCTTGTTTTTGCATGCGTCGTAAATATTGATTAAAATAAGTTCTGTGCAACTTTTTACACCGGTAAGCGAGACTCAGACATACCTTATACCTCCAGAGGTCATGCCTCAACCTGAGGTGTTTAATTTTACATCTGTAACGAGGTAGATATTTACTACTTTAAGGTGTTTCGTTTTCAACCTTAGGTTTATTCCTTATCAACCTGAAGTATATTTTTTAGCATCTGTGAAAATATTTATTCAACAGCCTAAGGTGTTTCAACACTTCATGTTATTCTGGATCTACCTCAAATATATTTTTTGACAGCATTCATTTGTATAATTTTTAATAACATTTTGTATAACATTTATGACATTTTGTATAATTTTTTACTAACGTGAGATGTTTTAGTTCTACCTTAGGTTATTATATTTCAACTTCAAGTATATATTTTTATGCTTCTAGACCAGGGGTCGGCAACCTTTTGAAATGAAAGAGCCAAAAGTTACAATTTTACAAAATTTCCCGCTTTTAAAGAGCCACTAAAAATNCAACTTAAGGTGCGTCATTTTACACATCAAGTCATTATAGATCAGCCTCAAGTGTATTTTTTTAACCATTTCATGGGTTGTTTTTTTATGAACGTTAGGTGTTCGATGTTTTACTTTAGGTTATTATTTTATTTCTCAGCCTCAAGTGTGGGTTTATATATTTGTTGAGGTATTTATTTATCTACCCAATGTGAACCATTTTATACTTCCTGTAATTATAAATCAACTTCAAGTGTATTTTTGGACACTGGGAAAGGTTATTTTTTATTAACGTGAGGTATTCCATGCTTTACCTTTCGTTATTATTTCGTAATTGCGTACCTTTGGTTATTATTTCGTGGTTATTATTCTCAAGTATATATTTTTGTATTTTTAGAGGCATTAATTTATCAGCCTAAAATGCGACATTTTGCACTTCACGCTTTTATAGCTCAACGTTAAAGTTGTTTTCTTTAATACTTACAAAGGTGATAATTCACAAACGTGAGGTAATATATGGTTCACCTAGCTCATTAATTTTTAACCTTACTATTGGGAGTACAAATTAGTTCGGTCAGTTTTTTGTGGTCGAAAATGCATTTATTTCAGAACAAATAAAATGAACAGATTAATCAAAGTATTGTCTATCGCTGGCTACTACTTTTTCCCACCTCTCAAGCAATTTTCGAATTCCATCTCGAAAAAATGTCTGGTCTTTTGTGGCGATCCAAGTTAGGAGCCAATTTTCGATTTCTGCGAAAGAAGTGAACTGGTGAACTGCAAAATCATACTGCATCCGTCGGAACAACCAGTAATCAGAAGGAACAATATTCAGAGAATACAGCGGGTGCGGTAAAATATTCCACTTGAGCGTTTCCAAATAGTTTTTTACGACTTTTGAGACATCGGGCTGACCGTTATTATGCAGAAGAAGAACTTTGTCATGTCTTTGCTCGTATTCCGCCCTTTTTTCTCGTAATGCACGGCTCATATGAATCAATTGTAGCTTATACCAATCGCCCGTAATGGAATCACCAGTTTGTAGCAGCTCATTTTATACAAAACTATTCACCATTTTTTATTCTTTATTCACCATTAACCATTCTTGAATTGTCGAAACCATTCCCTACATGATTTATCAGTTAGAGCATTGTCAACATAAACTTCTACAAGAATTTGATGCGCTTCAGCAGCTCTTTTCTTCTAATTAAAGCAGAAACATAAAACCTCCCGCAAATGGTGCTTCATTACCGCAAAATTTGACATATTCAACAAAGTGAAAAACAAAGTTTTTGTATGAAACTCAAAGCGATATAAACTGAATATTATTGACAGATGTTTAACTTCTCTAAAACCACTGAAACCAGCTGTCACTATATAACATTCATAACAGCAGAGCCATTTCTTAAAAACGGACCNACCATTCTTGAAATGTCGAAACCATTCCCTACATGATTTATCAGTTAGAGCATTGTCAACATAAACTTCTACAAGAATTTGATGCGCTTCAGCAGCACTTTTCTTCTAATAAAAGCAGAAACATAAAAGCTCCCGCAAATGGTGCTTCATTACCGCAAAATTTGACATATTCAACAAAGTGAAAAACAAGGTTTTTGTATAAAACTCAAGCGATATAAACTGAATATTATTGACAGATATTTAACCTCTCTAAAACCACTGAAACCAGCTGTCACTATGTAACATTCATAACAGCAGAGCCATTTCTTAAAAACGGACCGAACTAATTTGTACACCCAATATTATTTATTTGTCATAAAGAATAGCGTATATCTTTAAATTTTTTCACTAGTAGAGATCTTCATTTATCTACCTGAACTTTTTAATATTACACTCTCAGTATTGATTGCTTCTTTCTTTAAGCTATAAAAAGAAGTTTCAAATACATAATTCTTCTGTAATTTTAATAGATTCAATTAAATTACCTTGAAATGGCACTTATCCGAATTACAAAGTTAAAAATAACTATTTGTGTGAACTAACGTTTTTATAAGGTAGATGTCTAAGCTGCTTTTTTCAAAGTTATAAAAATGTAAATTTAATTAATTAGTCAGCTGACATTCAAAACACTTTTTATTTAAAACTAAAATTTCATTTTATTTTACAAACAAACAAAATTATTTTAAATATTGATTCTGTCTCCCAGTTGAAGCTTGGAAGTGTTTAAACCTAAAAATAAAAAATATTAATTAGTAAGAAAATCATATTTACAATACTAGTGCCAAGTTTTAAAATATTAGAATCATATGATCTTCAACAGAATTAATTAAACAAAATAATACTTTTTTCTTCATGATTTAAGTTAATTGGATGAAATTAATTTTCCTTTTCAGGCCATTCCACTTCTGTGATTTCTATCATCATCGTAGCTGAAAGAGTTTAAAAGTGCAACAGGTACCACAGCCACAAAATAAAACACACTGAAAAAGTACTACCATTACAACCTTTAAAGAAATACAAATATATAATTCGAATCTTATTAGGAAATTTTAACACTTTTTATTTTCCCATAATTCAACCTACATCAGGGCTGGATTACCCATTAGGCCAGAATAGGCCATGGCTTGGGGCCCCCAATGATAAGGGGCCCCATTAAAATGGATTTTTGAAAATAAATTTTAAAAAATTAAGGAAAACAATGATTTTTCAAATATTTTCAAAATGTTATGATTATTTTTTAGTTCTAATTTAATAAAATAAAGTCAAATTTAATTTATTATTATTTATTTTAATTTTAAATATGCTTTCTTAAATGAAAATAAATAAGAATACTTTGATGTTTGAATAAATAAAAAATATACGAGAAAAAAATTGAATCTAAGGGCCCCAGAAGAGTCCAAATTTGAAGGGCCTAGGGCCCCCCGTACGCTTAATCCGGCCCTGACCTACATCTTTTTTTTATGGTACTCATAAGTTTGATAATTAGATTTTCTTTCTTTTTTCTTACAAATCTTTGCGTAAACTCAATAAGACTAGTCTATATTTTCAAACTTTTTGTCAGATTTCCTAAAACTAATAGTTTTTTAATAAATTTTTGACGTTGATTCAGAAAAGGGCCTTCGTTATTGTCAATCACGTCAGAGTTTCGTAAAAAACAGTTATTTTTATATTTTAATCAATGTAATCAAGGGTCAACAATCGTTTAATAACATAAAATTTTAAAGTTAGGTACCAATTTTAATGTATTTTTTATACCCAATCGAATAATGCTAACCACAAGGTGATGAAAGCATTTGTTTTTAAGTTGTGTGCAATTTTATGCGAAGAAAATGTCTAAGAGAGAATAATTTGAAATAATGATTTTAAAAGATGTTGAGTAAAATATTTCCTATGTAACTTACAATACCGAGCAGAAAACTAATAATTAGTTGCTCAGATCATATGTTTAATAAAAAAATAAATCTTATAGGGGGAAATTTAAAACAATGTATATAACTTTCAAACAATGAATTCTATTTGCAATTGATTTTTTTCAATTCAGTATTAAAATTACATAAGAAACAATACTGACTTATTTCTAAAAATAATTTTCCGAAATTCGCTAATTTTTTCAGTAGTGAATCATAAGCAACGGCATAAAAATGCTCATAACCTTGAAACAAATCACTTGAACTTGAAATCGTTTTTTTTTTAATTCTTTTTGTAATTTTATTTAATAATAGTCGAAAAAATTGTGAAGTGTAAGCTATAAAAATGTTGACATAACTTTAAAAAAATGTA